CACACGGGCGGACAGACAGACAGACAGACAGATAGATAGATAGATAGATAGATAGATAGATAGATAGATAGATAGATAGATAGATAGATAGATAGACTGACTGACTGACTGACTGACTGACTGACTGACTGACTGACTGACTGACTGACTGATAAGTTGTACCCATTGCGGAGAAATTTAATTTACGTACAGTAGGAGATTTGGGTGACCAGTTATTGAGCGCGAGCAAACCTTTCAACTTAAACTTCAATGAGGGTTAAGACGTCAGTTCACATGAACTTAAATCGGCATGTCAATAAACGTCACCAATGGGACGGGCGGTGTCGGGGAGACACACGTCCTGCTCAGAGCCTGCGAGTCTTGGGCCGCTGGCGCGCTGCCGCCTCGGGAGGTGCCTCGTGGAGCCCCGGGCGCCGCCTCGCCTCGGCCGCGTAGGCAGCCCGGCCGCAGCCCAGCCGAGCGGGCGGCCTACCCGACGGCGTCCGCCCCGTACCGTCCCGTCACGTCCTTGTCAAGGACTCCTCGAGGCATCTCTGCCTTGGGCACTGCGTCCCTACCGTTGTCGTGTATTCGACTCCTTACTTTTTATCACCAAGCACGAGTGACCATTGTGTTGCCGATGAACTGAGAGAGGAGACCGTGTTGGGTTCGACTCGCCGTTCTACCTCTCTCTGTATCAGGGGCGCCCCTTCGAAAGCAACCCCCTCCTTCCCCCTTGCTCGTCGATCATGTGCACTTTTAATGGTCCAACTTTGTGTGCCCGCCACACTTTCCCCGCCCCTCCCCCGCCCCCTTTGATTCCCCAGTCATTTTAATTATGTTTGGCGTTTTGGCGGGTCCCGCCCGGCCCTGTCCCACCGCCGCTCCCCCGCGGTACGCGTCAGTCAGCGCGGCCGCGAGCGGCTGCGTCAGGGGCGCGCCGGGGCCGGGCCGGGGGAGCTGCAGGCCATTAGCGGGCGGCGAGAGGCGGGATGGGACCGCCGCCGCTGCCGCCGCCTCGGACGCCACCTCCAGTATCGACGGCATGCCAAGCCGCCCCGCCTTTCATTCCTTCACCCTGTCGTCACCTTTCGCCAGAAATTGAGAAATAAAGTGATGCGGGGCGCTCCCGGGCGGGCCTCGCTCCATGTTACCCCCCGCCACGCCACGCCACTCCGTGCCTGCCGCCGCCGCCGGGGGCTGCTTCCACTCCACAGCACTTAAATTACCAAAAACTCGTTATCTCTTTTTATTCCAGGGCATTTGCATCCGCCCCGCTCTCTCTCTCACTCACTCTCGCTCTCGCCCGCACCCCGTCGTCCTCCTATCTGGGTGCTTCAAGCTCGATAAAGTACAATCGATAGGGGAAGATTGTTGCCAAAAAATTTCTTATTCCATTTTATTTTGCACCGGCCCCGCGGGGCCGTGGCGCGGCGTGGCGTGGCGCGGCGCATTAGCGGAGACACTTACAGCCCCTTCCACTCCATTTCTGCCCGAGTAGGGGTGGTGTGTGGAGATAATCAGCTCTCGCCCCGCCCCACCCCGCCCGACCCCACCCCGCCCTGCCCCACCCCGCCATGCTATCCGCGGCCAAGGAACGGCTCCGCGGCCAAGACAACACGTTCCCGCGGAAGCACGCTCCACGCTCGCGGCCGTGCCAACAAGGCGAGCGTGATGAGGTGATAGGCGTGCGCGCCCCAGTTGCCTCGGCGGGGAAGTGAATTTTGAAGCATGGGGGACCAAAAACCTCACAAGATGCGCTAGATTTATTATTTTTCTCGGTCGCTTAAGTGGGAAGTCAACATGCAATACGCATTGTTGCTGTAGCCGTTGACATGACAAGGATTCGAAGACCTTCGAGTCTCTGGTGCAGCACTGAACGAGCGCGGAAACTAACGCCACGATGCCGGCTGCCCGCGGTGCAAGAGTCAAGCTCTGCGCGAGTCTACTTCTCGGACAGTAAAGAAAACAGGCTCAGAGTATTGGAACCTGCTCTATCTCTGACACAGCGCTGACGTAACCACTACGCCGTTGGTACTCTGCGAAACGGGACGGATGACTGGTGAACCGCGCGACTGTTTTCATTTCCACTCGAAAGTGTTTTGCGCGAGGAAAATTTCGATTTGACGGAGATTTTTCTTCGCTTATGAACGAGTTTGGCCGCGGAAGTCATTTTTCTTCATTTGGTTTGCCTCAGATTGTCGAATTCTAGGCTGCTCGGCACCTTAACGGGATGGGCTCCTCTCTCAACCTTCCTCTCTTCCTGCTCATCGGGACCTGCCCCTGGAGTAGTATGCGGGGAGGCCAGCCAATACCCATTGAGTTACATGTCTCATTTCTTACCGTGTCGGAAGTCTCCCCCCCCCCCCCCCCCCCATACCCCTCCCCCGGGGACGGCGGCGGGGCAGCGGTGGCGGCAGCGCTAGAGAGGTGATTAGGCGGTCCCGCGCCGACGTGGACCATAAGGGCGCAGTTCCTCCTTTCGGTGGCTGCGTTCGGAAATGCCCTCCCACCGCCCCCCGGTCACCTGCCAGAGCACGAGTGCGAGAGAGACGACTGATGAGGAGCGGGTCGGAGAGGGAGAGGGGGAAGGGGGGCTGCCAGGGGGTAATAAGTGAGGGTACGTCGTCGCCGAGGGCGCAGTGGTCCGTCACTGATGTGGCTCCCGACGGCCCGCTCCAATAACGCCACTTCCCGCGCGCTTTTTTCTTTTCGTGGCGAAATGCCATTAAAGACCTTCCTGCCGGCGCGCTCTCCCTCGCGGGGAAGGGGAGGGGGGGTAAGAGTAAATAACCTTGTACCAGTGCTATGCAGAGCTCAGCAGCGGACCGCAGAAGAGTCTGTAAGCTGCGTGGGAGGAAGCGAAAGTCAAAAATTGCAACGGGTTTTGGCTCCACTGTTTGCGGCTCGAGAAATGTGGCGTTGGCTGGTCAGCACGTCGTTGCGAACGCAACTGTGTACTTGTGTGTACTTGTGTGTACCAAGTACAATGTTAAGTTTGCAGTGAGGTAGCCGAGCCGGCAGTGAGGTTTTCGACCCTCGTATTGCGACAGCGCCACGACTTTGTGGCCACAAACAGGAGCGTCCCGTACTGCCACTCAAGGCGGGCCACCACCTCCACACAGCTGCCTGGCGGGCTGGCCTACCCTGTTCGTTGCAGGCGCGTAGCGGCGCGAACCGTCAGAAATATATCTGTACTTGTTTCGGGATGGCCGACACTATGCGTTAACGACAAGGAAATTTAGTGGAGGACTGATTGAAAGGGTTGCTGCTCGACCAGTCCCAACCATTTCCGATGCCTAAGACGGTTGAAGGTAGGGGCTGGGGTCGACAGAGATTCCAGGCACTCCAGGAGATAGGGACAAGAAGGCGCCAGGACGTAAGCAGTATGGTTTTGTAGTAGTTTGTAAAACAATCTTTTATTGGTGAAAATTTTGTTCTCACAGGTGTGGGTACATCTGGTGCTCCGGTACATGGTTCATCATAAAGATTCATTCATTCGTGATTTACAGTGTTAACATCTCTTAGTTTTAACTGATATATATCAAACCTCATGTTAACACTTACTTCTGCACCATATTTACATATAATACACGTAATATTCTACAATGGTAAGTGGCAGGCAGTCGTTGCTTAATGCTTGAATATCAGTGTCTTTTAAAAAGTAATTTTACCACACCTTGTTTTCTGATGCCCGCAATTCTTAATGTAAGGAAAGCTTACAGATGATGCTGACACACAACATAGTTCATCTCACTGTTTGTATCCAGCATTCCGACTAATCTGGTTTTGTATCAAAAATCAGCAAATTACAAACACCAAAAACACCATTAATTAATAAAAATTTGAAAGAATGTAAGGCAACACAATAGCAATGGGCTACAGTGAAAGATTCAAGAACTCAATATTGCTTCTTCTTGGTCAAGACATAGCAGTCTGATGTTAAATACAATGACGATATAAAAGCACAACAGAAAAGGAGAAAAAAAATAAAACAGAAAAAAACATGATTAACGAGTTACACATTAAATAACCATATTGTCAAAATTTAGTTGTACTGTAAAACACATTAGTAGTCATATACAACAGAGTTAAAGCAATCCTTGCATTTAATTAATATCAAATGGAGTGAAACACTTAAAATATCATCAAAAACATTGATACAACCAGTCGTTGAGATTCTTCTTAGAGGAAATCAATTCCGATCATCTACTCAGTTCAAAATATTGAAGTAATTGAAAAACTCAACAAAATATACAAAAATACTGTGCAACAAGTGAAGTTCACTACATAAAGAAAATAGACAATCACATGCAAACTCTGAAGATAAACTGGAGTCTGGTTTAATTTAAACAGTCATGCAAACATATGCACAACAAAATAGCAGTGTAGAGACATTTCACACAAATGAAAAAAATACAAAAGACTAACATAAATGGACTTTTTCTTGTCTGAAAGTGTAGTTTAGGACTAGCATAATAAGAAACTCCAATAACATGACATATTTTGTCAAGTACAATGTGTCAAGACTATGACATCACAGTATGTGTGTTTGCCTACTCAAGCCAAGGCCTTTACCCAACAGTAAGCAAACCCGCAACACTGTGGGGTTGTAGACTTGACACACTGTACAATGCACATAATATGGACAGGATTTTGAAACCTTATAGTCCCCCTTATCTCAGATCAATAAACTATATCATTCATCCATGTTTAGAAATCTATCAGATATCAAATTAGCTGCGGGATGAAGTACAAATTTAAATAACTCTTAGAAGAGCTTTTCTCACAATATACACAATTCATGGGAAAAAAATATAATAAAAGTTTATGTCAAGATTTATCTGAACTCTATCAAAGCTAAAATCACATTTTTAATAAAATAAGTCCAAAAGAGATATGCAAACATCTTTAAAAAAGTAAATGCAGTAAGATGCATCCATATTGAACAAAGTGTCTGTTAAAATAGGATACAAATATCATCTTTCAAAATACCTGACTTCCAAGACAACTGTAAGAATTATTCCAAACAAAGGGACAATCTGCTGCCTATAACAGGTTTAACAGATTTGCCATATAAAAATTAAGTAGCTACGACAAAGTATATCAAACTTGTCAGTGAACATGTTCTACAGAAATGATTTTCACTTCTAGAAGAACAGGCAAGTTTGTGTGAAAAAGCTTTGTACCAACTGGTGCCAGTAACAAAAAGTATCACTGTTCAGTAGGCAGTTGGAGATACAGTTTCAGTAGTGGTTGTCCTCTCCCCTTGGGCTAGCTGTCCAGTCTTCACAGCATTGAATTTCAGGAAGGCATCATAGCCATAGGCCACCATGGCACAATAGCCAAAGAACTGTAATTTACAAAAGAACCATTTAGATTTCCAAAATGCATATTTTAACCCCTACAAGGATGAGCATGTGTAAAAAGTACTTACCGCTCCTGCCCCAAAGGCTTCGTCTCTGTTTGCCCAGCCAGCAGCAAGTGAGGCAGCCAGAAGGTAGAATAGTGTCCACACAGCACAGAAGACAAATTCCTAACAGGTAAGATAGAAATTAGTTTAATTTATAAAGCGCAGCACAAGAAAGAATTAAATAGAAGTAGAAATGCTTACAACTTTCAGCCAGGGGATTTTGAAAAACTTTTCAATGACATGGAAGAGGTAAAAGACAAGCAATATTCCAGTAAACCAGAAGCCAATCATTGCCACAGTGTTGAACCAGGACCCACGGGAGTGTATACTGTAGTATGACACAGTAATGCAGATAAATCCAAGCAAATTCAGGATCTGAGAAAGAAAATTTCATTTAAATTAGAAAACAATTTAACCTTGTGTAATTAATATATAAAACAAAAATTGACAGTTACAATTTGAGCAGCTTTAAGCATGCCTGGGAGGGTACGAATGTAGCTGGGATCAAATCTGATATTGGGAGAAGTCACAATGGTCTCAGTGGTGACCGTTGTCGTCCTTCCATAATTAGGATCAGCCATTGTTCCACACTTGCTTGTGATGCCTTGGTTAAAATTCTAAAACAAAAAAGAGAAGAACCATACAAGATTAATATCTTTGAATCATTTGTAACACTGACCTACAAACAAACAGAAATTGAATATTGCCTATTGAAAAATATATTAAACAACACAATTATTGACAGGTGCAGTCACTTCTTTGAACTGTTAAGACAAGACTTAAAAACCGCAAATGCCTTTATCGTCGAACATGACAACACATTTTCAAACAAATAAACAAACAACATGATGACAGCAGGTGGGAGTAACGACCTAACCTCTACGTTTCGGGAGGTTTCCCTGCGCGAGTGACACCCATCCACTGAAAGGGATCGGAGCGCCACAGGCGTGACGATACCTGTAGATAGCCAACCCGGGGGGCCTCGTATCGAGGGGTAGGTACCAGATAGGAACCCCGTGCCCGCCCGCGCCCCGCCCACACAATCCACGACGGGCCCAACCTCACCCACTTTTCCGACTCCTTTGCTGCAGCACGGCCGCGTCCTCTCCGCCTCTCGGACGAAAGAATACCGTCCAGATACACACAATGCCCCACGCCTCACGCCTGCGCGACCGGCCCAATGTGCCACGGTACCACCACCTGTAGCCCCGCAAAATTTTGGACCCCGTCCAAGTTTGGCTCACCTAAAAATACTGGGTGTGTTTGAAGCGGCGGGCGAACACTTCTCTCTCGCGCTCACACTCACGCACGACTGCCCCCGCCGCGGCGCCGCTCGCCGCTGCGCTCGCACCGCGCTCTAGCCGCAGCGTAATGTCAGCGCGCCGCTCCTACAAGAGCCGCCTCCGGGAGGACGCCGCTGCCGCCCGCAGCCCGTCTCTTTCGCACACCTGAAGGATGCCGACCCGACGCGAGAGAGGGACGGAGAC